TGTGTGTGTAGGAGTACCTGCGTCAGTTGGATGTCATCAGGCAGCAGTATCACCAGGAGATAAAACATATGAAGCTGAGAGCTGAAGCTGAGGTTATCTCTCTCTCTCCCTCCCTCACCCTCTCCCTCTCTCTCTCTCCCTCCCTCTCCCTCTCTCTCTCTCCCTCCCTCTCTCGCTCTCTCCCTCCCCCCATGTGTGACACGTCGATCATATTTCATGGTTCTTTTCGTCCTCAGTCTCATTCACAGCAGAAACATGGAACCTTTGTGGTGGAGAAACCTGGAGAAGCTGGTGCAGACGGTGAAGAAGCTGCACCTGTACAGGTACATGAGCTCGTTTACATACATGTGCTAAATAACATGGATAAACTACAGTCATCTATTCATCTCGTGTTGTTGCTGCTGCAGGACATGGAAGCAGCTCTGAGGCAAGTGAGAGAGGAGACCAGAGCTCTGCGGAGAAAGCACGGAGACAAGGTGAGATGATCATGTGACCTCGTCTGTTCACCTATGAATCACTTGAATATATTGAAATGACAAGACGAGATTCTTCACAGGACGTTAACGGAGACGTGACGTTGTTGTAGTTTCTTTCCCCAGTTTGTCATAAAGCTTTTTTTAGTGAATGTAAAAGTTCTGCAGAGTTAAAAAGTTCAAAGTCTGTGATGAAGGGAGCTCCTCCCATCAAAGCCTGTTAAAGTGAGAGCGTTTCCTTCATTGACCAATCAGAGATGACTTTATTGGGGGGGGGGGCTGCAGCAGCGATGGACATTCTGAGGTTACGTGTTGTTTCCTGAACATTAGAGCATGAAAACATTTGACTGTTGTAACTCTGACGTCTGCCTCGTGACAGTTTAGTAATAATCAGTCGAAAGCAGAACCAGCTTTTTCTCCTGCGCACGTGATCATCAGCTTTTTACTGTCACACACAAAATATCCAAATATAGTGAAAAGGTTTCCAGGAAGAATCGACTCTGTGAAGGACGAACTCTTTGACGGATAATTAAACTGACGGAAGCTGCACTCTGCTCCTGAGTTCAGAAAGTAAGATGGAGATGGTTTCTTGTCGTTGTTTGTGCAGAAAGGAATCATGTTCGAGATTCCATTCGATGAGAAGGAGAAAGAGGGCGTCGGCCCACTGAGCCACACCCTGAGCTTCCAGGAGGGGGAGGAGTTGAAGCTTAGGGATGTGTTGGAGGAAAGAAGGGGGTGGAGTTTGAGGACTCCTCAGACTCTGCTGGATGCACTCGCCAACATGGACGTCCACTCCGTCTACGCGACTGTCGCTGAGAAACAAGGTGCAGTAAAACTGCTGAGTCACTGCTGTTACTGGATCTACTGGTTCATGAACCTTCTTAAAGATCCTCTGCTCCTCAGGTGAGGAGGCGGCGGCTCGCAGACAGTGGGTCGACGGCCCCCCCAACACTCTGCTGGATGCTCTCGCTCAGGCTGAACTTGCTTCATCAACTCTGAACTCAGTGACCACAGGTGAGACATCGCTCACATCTGTGACATCACGAGTGCGACAGGACAAAGTGAAGATCATGTTTATCTGCTAAAACTAAAACAAGGAAACTCACACTGACGATCTGTTATCTCAGATTTAGAGCCAGAGGATGAAGAAGAGAAGAGGGAAGAAGATGCAGAAGAGGAGGAGGAGGATGAGGAAGACGACTCTGATGTGGAGATGGACGAAGAGCGGCTGGAGCCGAGGTCAGACGACGACGACACGTGAGTCGACGTTTACGTCTCTTCTCTTTCACGTCCAAAGAACAGAGCTGCAATAAATAACTGATGAGTTGATAAGTTGAACAAAAAGTCAACTCATCTACAATTGATGCTGAAAAAAATAAAGGGAACTCGTAAACTACACATCCTGGATCTCAATGAATGAAATATTCATTACAGAGTAAAACCAGCAGCACCATTGCTTTACAGGGGTTGTCTTGCTAATTGCCTCTCGTTTCCACCTGTTGTCTGCTTCATCTGCACAACAGCAGGTGAAACTGATTCACAATCAGAGATGCTTCCTAACGACAGGTTGGTTTCCCAGAAGTGTGATCGACCTGGAGCAACATTGTGTCGTTGAAGGGTTCCCTTTAGTTTTTTGTACTTCATTTCAAAATAACAGCATCAGCTGTTGACTGACAACTTCAACTAAAACGATTCATTGATTCAGCAGCTCCACTGAGTCTCTGACCTTCTGACCCGAGAAGAACCAAAGATCTTGATTCAGTTTCATTTGTGAATTCATTTCCTCAGGAACTTTGAGGAGTCGGAGGACGAACAGAGAGAAGCGGTGGCAGACTCCATGAAGAACCTGTTCGTCGTGGAGGACGGGAGCTCAGACAAAACAGAAAATTCAGAGGCAGATGATGGGAAGGAGGATATCGGAGACGCAGACCCTCAACAAGTCCAACCAGAATTGGTCGTTTTGTCTGAGCCCAGAGAAAGTGACAGTCAGGGACGTTCAGACGAGTCCCAGACAAACGATCACATGTGTGTAAATACACAGACTCAGACAACCTGACTCATCAAGTAGGTGTGAATGTTTGTCCGTCGTCCTCAGCTGCTTCCTGCTGACGACAGAACCTTTAAAAACACCTCACAAATATTTAGTTTCCAGTAAAACGTCTGAGTTTCCTGAAGCTGCTGCTCTTTCTGGTTTTCATCAAACTAACAGACGGACATTTGTTGGACTATTTTCAGCAGCAGATTATTCCATGTTTGGTGTAGTGAGGTGTGTGTGTGTGTGTGTGCGTGTGTGTGCGTGTGTGTGTTATGGTGATAAAGTAATGTTTTTACATTGTAAAGGCTCATTTATTATAAACGTACAGAGACGGAGAATTCTGTCCGTACTCTGTTTTATATTTCCAT